GGGTAATTTTTTAGAGTACATATTTTTTCAAATAGTCTCATCCATTATCTGCAATATTGCCCAAGACACCAAACCGATCGGGCACAGTTTTCACAGCTTTCGAGAAAACTTTTTCTGAAGATAAGGTTGATATTTTTCTATAGGCTCTTTTCAAAAATAAGGCTGGATTCAAATTGGCGATATGAAGATGCAAAATGGCATAGTCAGTCATAAGGAACGTTTCTGCAAATTTTCAACCAAATGAAAAAATACTAAAATAAACAGATTTGCGAATTCGTAGGGAATTGCTCTATGTAACTCAGTTAAATTAAAACAACCTAGATACTTCAGATTTCAAAACATTTCTGTTATTGTGAAACTCTTTGTATTTATTCGTAGATTCTTGAAGTTGTGAAATTTGAAAATTAAGAAAAGAATATTTACTGTATTTAGGGAAGAATTCATCTTTCGCTTTCTTCCACTGGCTATGCCCTTAACTGTGAATATTGTTTTAACTACGCCTAGAATTGTATTAAAAGTTTAAAAATCTGTCTTCAATATTGTAGTTAATGGATTTTCTTTCAAAGTGAGTCGCAATCAACAATATGATATTTTTTTCAAGTTAAAATCAGTTACAATGAAGCTTGCATAATTTGTTAAATCAGCGAAAAATATGCCGATCCAAAAAGCAGAACTGTAGCTTGACCTCTGGCCAATCGAAGTTCTGGATGAGACTGATATGCCATTGCTTTTCTTAATGGGACAAACTGACTTGATGTTGTTTTCACAGTTTTCATGATCAAAGTTCTTAGTTTTATCACGTAATATAAAAGTAGATGCCAAACGATAGTGGATAGCATTATTATCCTAAAATTAACGAAAATCCATATAAGACTGATGTGCGATTATAGGCAGTGCTGGTCTGCAGGAATATAGATGATGAATGTAACGAATTTTTAGACTGAGACGTAATTTATTTGAATTTTGATTTAATTCCAATGGTTTTATAAAAACAAAAATTAGGCAGAATATGTTTATTAATCAACTTCTGCCTAGTTTTTATTTTTCAAAAGCCATTGAAATTAAATCAAAATTCTTAATTAAATTTTGATATAGGGTAAATGTTGGCTTCGGCACCCATTGACTGTTTTCGGCAACCAAAATTTAAACGTTAATTTCACTATGTTTTCCCATCAACACACTTCCCTGAATGTATTCAAACGATTCTTTAGTCTTTCAGCTTCAATCTGATTATATTTGTATGACCGAGCAATCCTGTAATGCCAGATTTTTCTTCAAATGAAGCATACGCACTTCAAAATGGGGTTGATTTCTAGTTGCCGATAATAGAACAGCTGGTTAACACGCAGTTCTAATGGGAAGGTTGCCGAAGAAAAAGAGTCTGCCGACAATAGTCACACTCACCTGAGAAGTTTGGAGCGTTGTAAAAACGCTTTAAAACCGTTTTGAAAAATTCTATCGATTAGAATGGATAGAGAAGCAAGCAGCAGATGAATGTAAACAAACAGACACGTCATATATGTGCGTGACGCTGAGAAAATGCTAATAGAAGTGCGGACGCTGCTTAGATTGACGAGAATACGTAAATTGCCCTAATTTCAATGGTTTTTGAAAAATATATACAAGCCAGAATTTGTTTACTAAACAAATTTTGTTTGGTTTTGATTTTTTTTAAACCATTAAAATTCAAATAAATTACATTATATCTCAGATTCTTTACAAATCATCATCATATGGTCAAAATATGGACAATCAAACCAAATTATTTTCAGTGTCCAATAAGTATTGTCATGCATGGTTTTGAAAAATTAAAAATTCGTTATTTTTTTTATAAAAAAAAAGATGCAATCCAATCTTTATTCTTTTCAAAATTTTGCCTAATGGCAATCGGACATTACAAAAATATCAAAATTCTGAGACTTAAATAATTTGGAATGTTTAGTTCATGTATTAAGGGAAGAATTTACCTTGAAAAATCAACCTTCAATATTGGAGTTTATGGATTTTTTCAAAGAAGGTCACCACCGCGAATGACCCAAGTAACCACCAAGCCCGTTAATAGCTTTCTAATCACCCTTTTTGCAATATAAGGTTGTAATAGGGATTTAAAAGTTTATATCAGCCGTATATCAGCATTATATTGTAAAAAAGGCGATTAGCGGGCTTGTTGGTTACTTGGGGACATTTATCAGTGACATTCTTCACTCTAAAAAATACTGATGGATAAAAAAGCACCATCAAAAGAGAGAAACTTCTACCACTGCGATGATAAGAAAAACCGAAACGAGAGAAGTTTACTAACTCGGCAATCGCTTTCCATAAACAAAAACTGACCTAATTAGGAATTTATGCCTGACCTAAACTTAGTGTTATTTGAGCACTTTCTTCACCACAGTTGTTAGTTGAGAGCTTTCCGAGTCTGTATCATTTTTGCATCCGTATACTGTGTGGCAAGCACCCTGTGCCCAGGATAATCGACAAAGTATCCAACCAGAAATGTTCCATGACCGGACCGGGAATCAAGTACAGAACCCTCATAAAACCAAATTTGTTACTTGGGCGAATAGGTTATAGGGAGCCCTCTTGCTCGTTGTGGTTGCAATTTGACATGCGTAGCATTTTAGTCTTTTCTTCTTTTAAGGTCAGATTAATAGCTAAACCGAGCGATGAAACGTGAGTATATATTTATTGCAATCTCTGTATATGTTCCATGACTGAAATGTAGCGACAGTTGATAAATTAATATTTCCAAAGTCAATAGTTTCTTTGAAAACCTCTGCTAGATAATGACCAAAATTCAATACAATAGGTTGAAATCAGCGCAATCCTTTAAATGTACTTGCATAAATTTCTCAACATTCTTGCAAAACTTTTGGATGACAACATAAAAGAATCTGTACATATAGTGAATCATTGCAGATTTTGCATGTGTATTTTATGCAAAACTGTTACAGAATTCAGAATTTAACATTTTCCGGTATGGTCTTTCATAAAAAATATAACCAAATGACACATTTTCCTCGCTCTCATCTCCCATATGACTTTGTCTTGTTGGGGAGCGCAAAAAAAAACAAGCACTGTCCGTAAATTCGCACCAAAGTGCACAGAGTGAAAAACCAAGAAAAAACGGCGTCCAACAAAAATATCCAATCAAAATGTCAGAATCGAAGACGGATTGCTCCCTCGTTTACGTCACACACCCCGAGAGCAAGCGGGAAGCTGGCTTAAAGAAGCGACTGCAAAAAAAAAAGAACGGCCAAACGAAACCCAAACACAATAAACATCCATTCCACCCAGTTATACAGGAACAGAAACACGACAAACGGCAGACTGAAACGATAACAACAACAAAAACACCATCAACAGCAAAAATACAAAATCAGAAAATCAAACAAGCAGTCATCAGTCAATCAGAGACGACGGAGTTGAATTAAACAAAATAAAAATGAAAAAAAAAGTCAACCGAGCACCAACTGACATATCAGAACAAATAATTCTACGTCAGAATAACAGCTACCAGAACAACAACAGCTCAAGCAACCCATACGAAAATATACCGACACATTAATCTGTCTACCTTAACATACGTGATGAGTGAATAATTTCCACAAATTGCAAGAGGAGTGGCTAAATTTTCTTCCCCCTTCATAATAAAAAAAAACTGTTCTGGATACTAACCGTCACACACACAATCACAACTTTTCCTATCTAAATCAAGATTAGTCAGAAAACCAAATCAAATTCAAACCCCAAAAAAAAAAGCAGAAAATTGCATTCAGTGTGCTTGTGTTTGTCTGTGTGCAGGAAATGTCACATTTTCGCGTTGGAGCTCATCATCTTCCCCATATTCGCCTTCATGTTGTCTTGGATGCTCGAATACCGCCGGATGATGATTGACAGATGAACTGAGACACATCGACAACGACGTCGACGACCAACAAGAAGAGCAAGATGGGAAACAGAAAGTAAACATTATTACCAAAACACTGACGAAAAAGTGTTAATCAATTGTTTCTGCAACTGTTATTGCGCCATCTGGGGGTAACATCTGCTACCGCCACTACTACTACCACTACTACTACTACAACAACAACAACTGCTACCACTAGTTCTACTACTACTACTACCACCACCACAGCATCGTCGACCAATTTCAGTGTTGCCAGAACGATCGGAATTGGGTAAGTGTATTGCTGTATCGGACGGAAATAAAAATTCGGATGAATAGTTGTGCCCTTTGACAAGTTATTCGTTTCTTGTGTTATACTTTGAAGTTACGTACACTCTTTACGAACGCCATTACAACATGTTAACAATTTGGACGTAATGCTCTACGCTAACCCAAAATGTCACACGGTACAGTACTTGTGTCAATAAACGAACACTACAAAATACAACTATGTAAATAGTCACCGAAGTCTCTCTCTCTCTCCATCACTCTCTCAGCAACAGAACGAAACGATTTACAATTCATGCACGAATCTTGCAATAGCCTACAGCTAAAATACACTTGCGTGTAGGAATGAAAATGAATACGATAAGACCTCTCTTTTTGCCTTGCATTATCATTTTTGTAGCTAATAGAATCCCTTTTCCATAAATGTTTTTGGCTATTTGAGAACCCACCCTATCATAGGTTTGTTTGTTTTTGTGTTTGATCTACAATCCACTTCTTTTTCCTACCTAGTATTAGAAATCTCAGTATACAGTAAAACCTATGCCAAAAAAAAAAGAGTACAATACTAGCCAATGATTAGAAAAGTTTGAGTACCAAATAGGTAAATAATAATCATACTAGAGTATGAAACTTGCCTGCTTATTTGTAATTTTCAAACCCAGAATTCAGAATCTCAAACACAGTTTAAGCTGCTCGTGATCGGAACCGACTAACCGTTTCCTTTTTCTCTTCGTTTTTTTTTCGTTTTGTTTTCCTCAACCGATTCCGAAATCGAATTTTGATTCGTTTCGTGTGCTGCTGCAAACATGATTGTGCCTTCAAGAAGCAGCCGTCTCCAAGGATGCCTGCAACGGACGAGCCCCGTTGCTACACGATCCTACCATCTTCGGCGGAAGGCCGACCCCGTACAGTAAGTATTTCCCGATGCGAATATACCTAGCTCTTTAGGCTTAGCTTAAGGCTTGGCTCCAAAATGTTAAAACCGGTGAATTTTCGGATCTGAAGTTCATGACGTTGAAAGCAAAACTCGTTTCACCATTAAAACCATACCCATTTCATTACTGACTTCCCAGAGCATAGAGTAGCATTTGTGCTTACCACAATGACTAATGTAAAGCGCAAAGTTAAAATTCATTACATAAAATTTAATGAGCCGTCGCCGTAGGCTTTTGCAGTGGTTCATGCAAAAAATCTATCTGAAATCATTATCGTTTGTCTGTTGCCGTGCGAAGCTGTGTGAGTGTATAAATCTGTTCGTTTATAAATGTCCGTGTGCCCGAATTGCTTAATAGTGTGGTCTGCTGTTTTCATTCGCGAGAGCTATTGACGTGGATCCGGGTTGACCTCTAAGCAAAAGTTCTGAGTTCGAGGCTGGTTGAGGTTTATTGTTGTTTTGTTTACAGATGGATATATCCGTATCTGAAATATTACGACGTCAATTAATTGCAAATTTTTATATTGCTTTTTCTCATACGATCAGCGATGCCGGGTTTTCTTGGAAAAAATATACAAACCGCTCCAAAATAGGTTTAACAAGTCGGGACACGGGTTGTTAACGTTCTATAATTATTTAATTGATCATATACATTAATGACCCGATTTTATGAGCCCACTTTTTGAAAAAATCTTTTCCAATGTTCTACACAGTTAGAAATACCTAATCTTACACGTGACGAAATCCATCTTTGAGATAAAGGATGAGATGTAAACAAACATATCATGTAAAATTAAGTGCTCCGATACTGAAAAGTTCGGAAGTACGTTTGATTGTGCTGAACTTCGCGTCTACTATGACTCAATTTTATGTCAAAATTGACGCTCGTATATGTCAGTCTCAGAGCACCTAAATTTACAAAAATTCTTCTAAGTGTGTACGAAATCCTTTTCGTATGTGAAATTATATAAAAAAAAGTCTGATGCATGGAGGGGCTGACAAAATCATCGTGTCATTACTGTAATACAATCTATAGTAAAAAAAAATTGTGTTTATTCCACTTCCCGCGCGAATCTACACCGAAAATAGTTTTCATGTAGCTTCCATTGTAAACGCACATGATTATCATCCATAATCAAAATTAATGGAATTCATCATAACATTTATGCGATCACATTAATTTTATATGATTTTTCATATGAATTTCATCGGCTTTATAATATTCATGTGATTTTGTGGTGGGATTTGCAGCTATGTGATCACAGGAAAGCTATGTGAAATTCACATGGATTTCATCCATTAGATATGTGATAAATTTTTTAAGTGTAGATGACCATTCTCGTTTCCTTCTCGCTTGACAGTTCTCACTCTATTCCGAATGTCGACTCGCACGACGCGAGATGTTCATTATGCATCGAGAGGAAGGATGAATCGACAGCGAATTACTGTTCATTTCTAGAAACGTCAAACTAAAAATGTTCATCGCGGAAGCTATGATAAAGACGTATGCAGTATTTACTGACAAAACAGTAATTTGATTTTGACTTATCAAAATCTGACCCCCTTTAAGTACTCATCCCCTAGGTAAAAATATCAAGATCACAGCTATGAAAATGAAACTACAATGTGTAGAATCGGAACCTACCTAACTAATGAAAACCTAAGATTTAAGTAAACTAAAGGAGAAAAATCTATACAACTCTCTAATAAGGAAAATTCCCAAATCTGTGTCTGAGCTAGATAAGTCTTTAGTGGGATTGACACTGATGAAGACTGCACCAAAATTAATTAAGTGGAAAAATGGAAGATACAATTTTTGCCTGTTTTATTTAAGCATTCCGCTAACAACCCAATTTCATTACTTCACGACTTTTTAATAATAGATATAGCACTGAAGAAAAAAAAACTACTATGTTCGCCACGAGGATAATGATGGATGTTTAGATTTTGATTGTATTTTAAAAAATTCGAATAGTCTACAAGGGTTTGAGCCTCACGCGCGTACTACAAATATAGAGGACTGATTATGAAATTTAATAAAACAAAAATTGAAACTTTGAGGTTTATTTGGAAGATGTCATGAATTAGTAGTGAGTTGTCTGGCTGAATGTCGAGCATTTATTTAAACTTCCTGACGCGGCTGAAAGTAAAAGTACTAAGGATATAAAAGTTCGATTCCCGAGCCGGTCTAGGATTTTTTCCCTGGTTGAGGATATCCTGTTAATCTAGCTGGAGGTTGAACTTCTGCTTTGGTAGGCCAAATGGTTAGCAATGGCCTCGTCAGGACCGTTTCGGCTGGCAGGAAATTGGCTTTTCGATTGATAATTGTTCTTAACCGGGATGTTGTGTTCTGGATTGAATTTTCTCGATCGCTGGGAATGCTTACGAATATTTGTGGTTGATTCCAATGGCTTCTTCAAACTTGTATCGCTGTGAAGCGATTTGAGCACTTTTGAGGGAACTTGTATCTGTAGAAGAATCCGGACCGTCTATCTCAAACCTTTATATGGGGTAAGGGCGAGACCATCATAATCATCTCATCTACACACTTAGTTTTTTCTACCGAGCTCGGCTGTGCAAATCTCGGCAAAAAAGTTTCACTGAGATCTCAGCAAATATTTTATTTGTTTGCTGAGATTCAGCTAAGCATTATCCAAGACTCAGCAATCAAATGTCACTTTTGCTGAGATCACAGTGAAACTTTTTTTTGCCGAGATTTGCACAGCCGAGCTCGGTAGAAAAAACTATGTGTGTATCTCCGCAAACACTGAACTAATCTTGACAAAAAAAACTGCGAAATGAAAGGTTTTGGAGTCCCACGTACCCTTTGAAAGAATATCTGGGATTGATTCACAATATCTGGAGTTATGACCTGATTAAAATCTGGGAATGTCAGACCATTGGTTCAAAATGGCATATCTCCTCAACCACTTAACCAAATATGACAAAAACCACCGCCAAAGAACCCTACGGAGGAAATCTGATATTGATTCACAGTATGTGGAGTTATGAGCTAAATAAGATCTGGGATTGTGAGGTTATGTTTCAAAATGGAATAACACTGAGCCGAAGACTCGGAGACTCATGTCCGTCGAATAACGAAACCATGCAAGTTAACCGGAATTTGACCAAATAAACAAGACGGAAATATTGCACAAAAAACCTTTCAAACGAACTGGTTATTTAAGCAAGTAGGTTATTCAATTTTTTTTATTTAAAAAGTGTGTTTGGTTCGATATTGAGTCATATTTCTATTCCTGGCACTCTTTGTATTTCTAAATTTCAAGTTTTTCCTTTTTGTACTTTAACAATTCCATTTTGAACTCCAATTCTGCTTTTTCATCTTTTGTTTTTTTGTAGGACATATTCACGTTCTTCCTCTCGTAGTTTTAATTATTTTTCGGGCGTACCGTGCGCATTCTCCGGTATTTTTGACGATCTTTTTTTTAAATATTCCGTTTATTGTACCAGCAAGTCATACCACAAATCCGACGGATGTGCTTCCATTCGACCAACCAGGAAAGCAAACTCCCTTTGGTTTGTCACACGGACTCTACAATAATATAATTTTATGCTTTTCAAAAGCATAAAAAAATAAAAACTAACCGTTTCACTTCCATTTTCTCGCTTTTCAAATGTTCTCGATTGCATCTGACGTATCGACAACACTCGCATGAAAACGTCATTCTGAGCAGAGTTTTGTCGATATGCATCGACTATGGGAATACACCGAAAGTTCATCGGAGTTCATTCGTATCGACACTTGTCACTCTATTCGAGTACGGGAATTGGGTGACATAAACGTCACACGAGAAGCGGAATAAACACGTTTAATTTTTCATTCATGGGTCATGGGTCATTCTGGATTCGGATGAACTTGTTTTTTAAGCACTCTTGTCTTGCCTTGGAAATCTTTAAATTTAGCATTGAAGTTCTTTGTGCTTCTGGGCAAGCCTATCTCTAGCCTCTTCTACACCGTTTGAAAAATTCATGTAAATTTCTGCTATATATAGCGCACACAAAGTTAACGCTAGATTTGGCGTAAAATTACACAATATTTCGTGTAAATATAAACGCAATATCGCATAAATTAACAATATTGTATGCAAGCTTGTAAACGATTTCGTTGTTTATGCCAACTATACATAGCTAGAGCAAAATTTGACGAGGGGAGACTTTACGCGATAAATTCAGATTTTTTTTTTCTGTGTAGCCTTATCTGGTTCATGGTAAGTCAATTGCAGGGCTGTTACAACAGGCGCGGATTTCGCGGATTTCCGCGGATTTGAACTTTCAGTTGCGAAAATCGCGGAAATATTAAAAGATGTCGTGAAAATCACGAAGGGACTGATGTGCTACGAATACGGAATACGATTTTCTATTTATCGTGTTTTATGATGTACATAGCAGTGATGCCAGTTAAAGTTTGAAATGTTCCATTTTTTTAGAATTCATACAGTTTTATTAGTTGCAAACTATTATGAAGTATGACTACCAGTACAGTATGGCTCAGATGCTTGCATTTTAAACTTTTATATTGGAATTGAAATCTGGAAATGCAGTATTTAGTTTAAATGCAATATTGCAAGGGAATTGCAATTGCTCACTTCACGGTATCGAGACGGGTGGGCTGTGTCACAGCTTCGACAGGCATTTTGCAGGTTCGGTATTATGACAGTTAAAATAACTTTATGTCAAACTTACCCTACCTGATGTTGAGAACTTGGAGCAAATCAATAAGTTGCAGAACCATCAAAAATCTTACCGTCAATATTAATTATTTATCTCTTATCTACCAATAATATTTGAAAATATTTGGGCTTCTTATGCCTTCGTCATCTTCTCTTGTGAATTTATTTATTGAAATTGAAGTAACATTCTAGCTAGTTCTTATGCAGGGTATCTACTTATTTTGCCATATTATTTTTCCTGAGATTTTTGCGTAAAAAATATGTTATTTCTGGTAAAACAACAGC